AAGAAAGCAAAGTGGGCCGTTTCCCTTTGACCCCCCCCCCCCCCCCCCCAACTTCACCTCAGGTTTTGCATTTAGGGGGTGAAAGAAGAAAAGAACGAAAATTCCTTAAATTCCTGATAAGGTAACTTCGTTCTCTCCTTAACGCCTGAGCGAGACCTTCCTATAACTCAGAGACATTCCACATCCCTAGTGGCCTTTTGTCACCCGATCACAGTGACTGTCAATGCGGTTCACATCAAACGGCAATCATAAAGAAGCGAAAATCGTTAAAACAGATTACAATTATTTTATCAGGTGTTCAAAGCAAATCCGCCTTTGGTGCCAACACTACAGAACCAAACAACCAAATGAGAGGCTATTGAAATTCATCCATGGGATTTGAGCAACTGGCTACTATCAGTTAAGATCTAGCTTACCTCCGTGAATTCAATAGAAAAGCACATGTTCCATGTTGACTGGCATCTGTACACTCTGTTGTGTGCTTGAGTTGAAGCAAAAGTCTAGTTTGGCTTTAAACATCAACACTTCCTGCATTGTGTGGATGTTTGTGCATGGGAATAGAAGTCAGCTAAAATATGTGAGTATGAGAAAACTTTAAAGTATATTTTTAATGATGTTTCACCAGTTACTTAACTACAAAATGTATAGGAAGCACTGGAGCACATGGGTATGATTTCTCAGATACAGGAGGGGTAAGGGAGGTAGTTAAAGAAAGTGAGAAAAACATGAGAGCGTGGGTCAACAGGGGACATAATTCTATTAGAACAAATTTCTCTCTCTCTTTTTTTTTTTTTTTTTACTAAAAATAAACCAAAAACACCACTATTTATAACTGTGATGAATTCATGCTTTGTCAAAAATGTAAGAAAGCACCCAATTAAAGTGATACTCTGCATTTCTTAAAACATCACCAAAACAATGGCAGATTTGTAGCAGAATAAATGCTAGAGGTTACAGATGCAAATAATCCGCTGCCATTCAGGTAATACAGAAAATAATACAAACAGGCAATAAACCTTGCATTTGCCCATCATGCAAAAAACAAAAACACTCACCATTGAGTCTACGCTCCAAGGCCTCTTCCTGCAGCTGTATACAATAAATCTGCTCATCGAGATCCTCTAAAATCTATACAGACAGGGAAAGAGAGCCAAATGGTGTGAGGGAGAATGATAGGGTGGATCTTTACCAAATGCATACACATACAGAGTAATAGTACTTACTGTTGGTTTAACTAGTAACTGGCCCATCACTGTGAACATGCGTGACAGTCCTACTGGAGTACACACTGATGAGATGAGACAAGAAGCTGTTTTAAACACACACATGCTCATTTATGCTTTTCTAAAGCAAGAGTAGGAATGCAACCATTGAACTAGTTCAAATTTATTTAACTTCTGTTCAGTAGCAGTGGCTAAAACAAGTAAAAAGGCATTGTGAGGGACAGCAGGGGTGGTTGATATTATTTATTAATATTTTAGCGTTTTAATGTGTATGCCACTTTGACACATCTATTTGCTCTGGAAAATATATTTTAAGCCATTTTAATTATAGGAATCCTTTCAACAAAACAGCTACTGCTGCCAATGAGATTCATGAAAGTATTCAAAAGCAAAATCTAGTTATGTTTTCCACACTGTTTTTCACTATATGAACAAAAAAAGGAATGAATCGATTTAATTGTATGCAATTTTCAAAATATCACCCAGTCCTAAAGCCCTAACAGGCTGCTGCTCAACCAGCTGAAGAGAAGGTTAGTCTCAAAACAGCAAATTGTAGTAACACTTGCTCTCCAAAGACAGACATGACTATTTCTTTAAAAACTGTCCAACTTCAAGGTATTCATAAGACAGTGCTTAATTTTCCTCACAATTTTCATACTCTTCACTGCACTGGAAGTTACAGTGTCCACTAAGGGCTAAATACAAAAGTGATTGTGCACTGACAGCACGGTTTCATATGAACTTACTGAGCAGCAACAGGCCTCCCATCAGAGAGATGCAGGAATAGAGGTATGGCAGATAAAACTCCCATAAATCTAGAACAAGAGAACGTGACAGGCACCGTAAACCACAGATCAATACATAACTGATTATATCACATGCATGCATCCACAACTGCAGGAGGAGGGTTAAGAGACATACCGTAGAGCGATTCCATGCTGGCGTCATCATTGTCAATGAGAGCGGACGCCACCCATACAATGCCCAGGATGAGGAGACCCAGCAGAAAGAGCATGACAAATGTCTCCAGCACTCGAGCCTTTATGCCCTGAAACCAACAAACACCCTCTTTAAAGTTTTCAAGCTAACTTATGACTGTGGCCAAGAGTGATTCACAAACACACACACACACACACACAGATTAGCAGGTGTAAATGAGGCTCTAATTGGAAATTTAGCTCTGGAAGCCCCAGGACTTCCCTATTACACTGACTCAATGTCAAGCCCCCTTCCCTACACAAAACGCACACACAACAATAGGTCACCAGATGCGCAAAGAAACTAATGACCTTCCTCTCTCTCATTCACTGACATACACACACACACATACACTTATATAAACAGTTATTACCATGTCCGGTCAGAGTTTGCGGCTAAAATGAAAAAGGTGGCTGCTACTGTCTGAGATTAACACCAGAGGCTCATCTGGAAACTATTAGGAGTTTTTTTCTCGGTCAGTAAGTGCCTTATGCGTGGCATTTAACTCCACTTCTGATTTACTCATTCCCCCGAACCTACATATTGATGACGGTGGTGGGGGTGGGAATTAATACTTTTATTCAGCAATGATGCATTAAATGTATCATGGAAGCAACATGACTTGTTTTCAACATTAAAAATAATTAGAAATGTTTCTTGAACAGCAAATTAGCATATTAAAATGACTAAGTGAGGATCATGTGACACTGAAGACTGGAGTAATGGCTGCTGAAAATTCAGATTTGCCATTACTGGAATAAATTACATTTAAAATACATTAAAATAGAAAACTTTTTTTAAATTGTACTAATACACTATATTAATATTTCCCTGTATTTTTGAGCATATAAAAGCAGCCTTGGTGAACATTAGAGACTTCGTTCAAAAAAATCTTACCAATCTCAAACATTTGAATGGTAGCTTACACGTCCATCATTCCCAATGACAGTGGATACAAGTGACAAACTGAGATGCAAGCATGTACAACATTTATAAGCAGTAAATAAATCCAGAAATGACACATCTGACCATTAAGATTATTTCCCTTCACCTCAAACCCAACTGTCTGTTCCACACATTTTCAAGTGTCTACATTCCCTGATTCCTATACATGTCTGTCTCAATCCTTAAGGCACTTTGTATATGAGCAGAATTTAATAGCCCTTCTTGATATTAAGAATCTAGAGCACCTCCAAGTGACTTCCTGATGAACAACATCTGCCTCATATCAGACTTCCCTCAATGGACTTTGAACCTTTCGATATTTGGACTGTGATTTAGCATCTTTTAAAGAATAAAGTGTTCATAAATAACACAAAGTCAGCAAAAAACAAAACAAAAACTAGTACAGACCTCTCAATGTATTTGGAAGCAAGAGAAGAGTTTTAAAAGTGATTTATTACCATTCCTGTCTCTAAGACGGAGAGAGAGACGTGGCAGAAAAGCCAGAAAAGTCTTGAGCTCTTCTTCTCTTGCCCATCTAAATGTGAGCACTGCTTAATATAGTAACTCTAAAATATTCAGCATCTAGTCCTTTCCTCACACACACACACACACACTCTCGCTCTCTCTCTCTCACACACACACACACGCACACACTGCAGTATACTCTAATCGGACAGCTGCTAATATCAGGTTGACTTCCAAGATATATCCAAGAGATATACAGTAGATAGTTGGAAAAGCAAGTGTTTGCATTTATGCATGTTTTGCTAGTCTGATTCACCCTAAGAGGGCTCTCCCTGACCTTACACAACCTCACTCAGCGTCAGGGTCACAAACTGCTCTCTCTCTCTCTCTCTCTCTCTCTCTCGCTCTCATTCTCCAAATGACTGTCTGCATAACAATATAACAAATAGAATATAATAAAGACATCTTTTAAATGTTATTAATGTTTAGTGCATCTCAATCTGAAGAAGGAAAACAAAAATAGAGCTTTTCCCAAAGAAAAAAAGAAGAGGTCCCACTTTATATTAAGTGGCCCTAATAACTGTGTACTTACATAGTAACTAGATGTGTACGTAGTATGTAACCACAGTGTAAGTACACATTGGTACATAGTATCTACAGCTGTAATGTTTGTGTAACTACACGCATGTAACAACCCTCTGAATGGTTTGTGTAAGTACAAATGTGTAACAGGACATATATAACTACATTTTGTAACAACAATATGTATAAGAGTAATTGGAACAATTTGATCCAAGGGGTGGAGATGGGTAGGTTTAGGGATATGTAAAGTGGGAGGAGTTGGATCTCAAGTTGGTGCACCACTGTAATACCAGTGTACTTACATGGTAACTCCTCAGGAACTGTCCACTTAATATAAAGTGTAACATTCTGGACACCAACCACAATTTATATGTAAAGCCTAACTTACTGGCCGCTGCTGTGTAACATCAAAGTAATTACATGGTAAATCCATATTAATTGTCTACTTAATATAAAGTGTAACACTTTCTTTACCAAAAAGTGATGTTACCAATGTCCTGTTACACATTTGTATTTACACATACCATTCAGTGGGTTGTTACATGTGTGTAGTTACACAAACATTACAGCTGTAGATACTATGTACCAATGTGTACTTACACTGTGGTTACATACTATATACACATCTAGTTACTATGTAAGTACACCGGTATTAGGGCCACTTAATATAAAGTGGGACCACTAAAAAGTCTTACTGCAGTTTCAACAAGCACAATTCTTAAGACGCATCTCTGATCTTGTACACAAAACAACAAAAATGTTCACAAACATGCAGCGTATTTCCTTTGTCCACTATGATTTCTCCTCCATGAACTACTAACTCTCATCAATAAAGGCTTAGCATGAACAGTATTATTACCTTCTCTTTAAGCCTGCTACACTGAAAGCAGTGTCAGAGACACAAAACAGAGTGCAGAACATGCAGGGGACATGAATCACTGTGTACCAACACACACACACACAAGCCATTGATGTGCCATTCTGACTAATACATTAAATACGTTAGAGAAAACAGGATATATGACTTAAGGAAGGCACTTCAGTACTTTTGAAGTTTGTGTGTGCGTTTCTTTTTTTTTATATCCCTCTTCCTACAGTGTCACCATCTTTTTTCTTGTTAGAATGAGGTGTCTAACAAATAAGACCTATGAGAACAGCTTCTGAACTAATCTGGGGTTTGTCAAGAGCACAAACAGCAAGATGTTAAAAGCCAAGAAATTGTTTAAAAGAGTGATAAAAATAAGAAATGATTCTGAAATAAACTGAAACGGCAAACAGGCAATCATTTTTCAGTGTGTTGTTAAAAGTACTAATACACATCCACTGCGATAGTCAAATTAACACATCCCTCTCTTCCCAGAACAGTATGGCACAGTGCTGATGGCAGTGAACAGTGCACACACATTCATTTGCATTAAAGCAAACCTTGCAAGAAACATCTCAATACATACAAATATTCATGCTTTCTAAGGCTTGAATATGGAGGCTATTACCCAATCCAGTGTTGCGCCTTTTCCATCAAAATAGAGAAACTCATATGTTGTCATAGAAACGGGTATAGAATGGTGCGCAGGCAAAGTAAATACGCAGTGTCATGGCCTTAGCAAGCAAAGCCTGGGAGCGAGAATCACATCTCAAAAATAAATATCAGCCCTATTGTGGACAGACTACAAAGAAAGAGACTGCCAAACACACACACACACACAGAGAGAGAGAGAGAGAGAGAGAGAGAGAGAGAGAGAGGTGATCATTTTTAGCATGTTCAAGGTTCATGTCATTCCTAAGGAATCGGTTAGGTGATGTCCATTTGCATAATGATAATAACCAATAGATTTTACTAGTGCTATCTCCATGTGCCTCATAGAGAATTAGGAGGCTTTTAGGAGCTCCTCATTTGATTTTTTTAATGATATACTGACTGGGGAATCAGGTTCTTTCTTACTGAAATCATAATCCTGCCACCTGTTGGACAAAATCTGAATTGCAGGTCCAGGCTACACATATCTGTTAATCCAGAGCACCCTTACAAGCTTTGTGTGTGTATTCAAAGGTTCGGAGTAATTAAGATTTTTAATGTTTTTGAAAGACGTCTCTTATGCTCACCAAGGCTGCATTTATTTGATCAAAAATAGTAATGTTGTGAAATATTTTGACTATTAAAAATAACTGTTTTCTATTTTAATATAATTTAAAATGAAATTAATTCATATGATGGCAAAGCTCATTTTTTACACTCTTCTTCAGATCCTTCACATGATTACATGATCCTCCAGAAATCATTCTACTATGCTGATTTGTTATTTGATATGCTTTATTATCAATGTTGAAAACCGTTGAAGCATCCAGAGCAGCAGCTGATGATTTTTTTCAGGATTCTTTCATGAATAGAAAATTCTAAAGAAAAGCATTTATTTCAAACAGAAATCTTTTGCAACATTATAAAATGTTCAAATGTAATGCATCCCTGTTGAAAAAAAGTATTAATTTGTTTCGGTTCTTTATTTTTTTTTTTAATGATTGTGTATCATGGTTTCCACAAAAAAAAAACTACTAAGCACAACTGTCTTCAAAACTGATAATAAGAAATGTTTCTTGAGTAGCAAATCAGCATATTAGAATAATTTCTGATGGATCATGTGACACTGAAGACTGGAGTAATGACTGCTGAACATTCAGCTTTGCATCACAGGAATGTGTTACATTTAAAATGCATTCAAATATTATATGAAAATAAACTGAATATTATAAAATATATTCAAATAGAAAACAGCTATTTTAAATTGTAGAAATATTTAACAATATTAATGTTTTTACTATATTTTTGATTGAATAAATGTAGCCTTGGTGAGCATAAGAGAGAGAAAGCAATTTTGTCACACACTTTCCTTCCCGACAGATATTTTTGGTTTTGTTTATTACATTTGATGAAGTACTAATACAAACACTGCCCCATAAAACGCACCAGCTACAGCTCTCACAAGCTTTTAACAAACTAGCCACTTTCATTTCCTCCAGTTACTGAATGTAATTTGCCATATATATATACACATGTCCCCGTTTAACCATCTAACATGGAGACTGGCACAAGCAGGCCATTTGACTTTATACTTAAAAAGAAAACATGAAATCTTGCTTTTATGGGCTTCTACGGTTGACGACTTAACCCTTCCCTGTATCAGCAGGGGGCTTTCATACAAGCGGCAGTTTCTGATCATTTCCTGTCTTTTTGCTACAGATGCGCACACACATTTGCTATGCCTCTGAGACGTGTAGGCCAACATAAAGCAGTGCTTCCCTCTCTCCTGTGTTTCTGGTTGATCAATGGTCAGAAACAGTCATGGTGCAAATGAGACAAAATGAAGCAGTACGCCTTGCTCCCGTACAAATGAGTGCAGCCCTCATAAACTACAGTAGCAACTAATCTTTATGTAGCTTTGCCAGAAGGGACATAAACCAGGAGCGACTTCAAACTGTGATGAGAGTAAGACAGAGGGCAATTTGATGCATTCCCTCCCACCCTTTAATTTTCATTATTGTGACGGTGTGTGTTTGCTGGTTTATGGTCTCTATGAGCACCGGTGACAGCCCTTCTTTGAGTAACTAATGACATAAGGTTGAATGAGCTGTAGAATTAAGACCGCTCAGCTTTTGAACTTTTATCTTTTTAGGGTGGGGGAGTGGCTGAAATCAAAAGGGTCACACATAAAACCGTGTGTGCATGTGTGTGTTTGGCCAAGCGAGGCTGAGTAAGTGCACAAACCTAGGTGTGCTGGGAGTATTGGTTTGTACAAATGTGTAAAAATGTCTTTAGCATCTTAAGTGTCCTTGAACTTTATGTGTACATAATATAATCACAAAGCCTCAAGCTTGCAGAAAACACACAAACACACATGGCCACATACCTTTTTCGAACCGGCGAAGCCCTCAGACTCCAGGAAGAAGTAGGCAAAAGGCATCAGCACAAAGAGACAGAGATTTGAGAAAAGGGACACCAGGTTCCACAGGCCTGAAGAAAGACAAATCAGTTCATTCAACTTTCGTTTCATTTCAACTTTAAGCTCAACTACTTGACTTGATCCATATCATTTAACATAATAACAGCAATTGGATAAAAAAAAAAACATCCCTTGTTCATTAAACATTTTGTCTAATTTGATTATAGTTGGTATGGTTTGACACATTTAAATCGATTCCACAGATTTTTCCTCCAAAACAAATTAATTAAAAAAAAGTTCAAGAATCAAACTTCTAGTCTTCATTTTTTTCAAAACCCCAAACATTCTCATCTAAAACAACCCAAAAAAACTGCTCTCAGAAGCTCAGGTTAACAGAGAAACCATCTGCACAAAAAACAGACACATGACACCACCTTGTGGAGATGACTGAAGCTAAGGAGAAAAATACTTCGAGTTGTTTTGAAATTATTATAACGAGTCAGGAGTAGTCAGGTGTATGGCCTCAGCAACATACTGTATGCATTGTTCAATGCACAAATCATTTAATAAACACTTTCTATGAAACACACAAATTAAACTTTGTAATTTTGATTAAAAGTATCCAAAGGTAAGGACAAATAACATATTGTGTTTTTAGAAGAACAAAGTAAACCGTTAGCAGAACACAAGCAGCATTTATTTCTGCAACAGTCTGTGAATGTCACCTAATGCATGACAGACAATAGGTACAACCTTATGCAAAACTACTTATTAAGTAGCACATATTATATTAAAATAAAAAAAAGGTGTGATACTGACCATGAATGAGTGATCCATTGAGCCACTGTATGTAGTAGTTTTTTGGTAGAGAGAGCACAATCTCATAACTGATTATAGAAAATGGTAAGAGAAGGACAGCTCCTCCAGACACTGCCAGTGTGAATGTACACAGGTACATCCTGAGAAAAGGCAGAAACAAAGTAAAAAGTTAGTGAAAAGCATGGTAATAATTCTTGTACATTATTATGAATGATTTTGAATCCGTTTTATTTTCACATTTAAGGTAATGATGTAACAATATGGGGTTACATTAAGAAAATACAAGTGACTACAACTCAAGGTACAGTGGAAGATTTGATAAGAAAATGTTAAACTAAGGATTCTTTGATATTAAGTTGTATATACCTGGATCCTTTAAATGAACTATAAAAAAACAGCACTTGTTATCATGCCAGATACGGTCAGTATCAAACAACTCACGATATTCTGTTGACAATGGCATCCTCATCTTCCTGATCATCTGTTGGCATAAGAAAAAAAACATAAAATAAACCAATAAACCAGACACAGATTTAAAGTAATTTTGTTTTTGATAGAGATTATGTTCTTAGTGCTTAGTGCTGTGATGCTCTGACAATCTTTATCAGAAGTGACAGTCAGCGTTTCATTTCTTTACTGTGAATTTGCAACACAGAGGTCACAGAAACATGACAGATGTTTTAATAAGTCTAAAGCATGATCTGTCTTCATTTAACTAAAAGCTACTTGAAACAATCAAGCATATTAATATTCATAATGAATTTATTGAAGGCATAAATCTATATTTTGTAATCATGTAAGGCAAAAGTGTGATCGCTATTTAGAAATTAGTGTTGTTTCAGAAGCAATGTTCACACTGGCAGTATAAAGTAAATGAAAAAAGAAAGAGAAATAGACTTAATTAGTTATAACATTTCTTACATTATCGCTTAAATATTTATTTGTCAGTGCAAGTTTTTAAAATGACAAGATGTGCGGGACATCCTGAGACCAGATGTGCTGTCATCCATCTAAAATTGCTTGTGTGTGGTCTAGTGTGTCAATATATATGTTTTGTCTCACCATTCACGGTCTCCCACCCTGCTCACTAGTGTGTGGTTTTCTTTCCTGATCGTTAGAGGGTGGTAGTAGCACTGATAAGAATGGGTTCTTTGCACTTATGCAGCTGGGTAAACGTACAGGTAGAGTAAATTAGACCTTAGTTAAATCAGTAACTAATGTTTCCTAAATTGACTACCACCTGGTCAACGCCAGATTAATTGTGTATTTGATTAAATCATTGTTTACTGTTGTCCAAGAGTATTTTTGGATAATTGAAGCTTAGATGGTCTCATAACATTAATCTTAATATGTTATAGCTGCATTAAACTGAACCCATTTCAACATTTGAGTAATATTTTGTTCATTTGCCCCTCTAGGAAATTCTGGTTTCTGGTAAAAATGCTGTCCTCTTGTTTGACTACCCCACTAGCATTTTAGAACCCAAGAGTAATCCGAGGTTAATTCATTAGCCTTGATTTTTAGTTTCTGCATGCATCGCTTAGTCACATTGTAGGGCTGGTAAACTCTGTTTTAGAGTTATGAAAGGGGAGTTCATTGTAGAGAGTTAATTCAGCAAAATCCACAGCTTATTATGCTAAATGTGTTTTGGACTAAATGATTATTTTCCACTGAGAATATGGCTTAACGTGAAAAACAAAGAACCTTTCAGATCACATTCAGTGTCCGAGTAGATAGCTGTCATGGCCCTGGACTGATAGGAGTGGATAGTGATTATATTTAAATGTCCTCTAATTGATTCGAAGAAGCTCCTTGGCAAAGACCAGATGGATCTCTGGGTTTATTACCCAATAAAGCATGTCGTTATTAATAAAGGAGGAAATGCACTTATGCGAAATAGACCTCAATTAGATTGCAGAAAAGACCATTAAAATAGTCTTGCTGTAGAGTAATCTAGCATCCTTCTTTCTTTATCATTTTCTTTTCATGTCCTTCCTAAGTACAAGTTCTATGTCTCTAGTTCAGCTAATACGGCAGGCTCATTTTCATCATTACTCTGTGAACATGACAGAAACAGACTTCTGGCTAGATATAACATGAAGTGTCTAAAAAAGTGCTAAAAGGTCAATCTAATCTAACATAAATATAAAAGACATTTAAAATAGCCCCTGTGATGTGCTCTGGTGATGGATGGGCTTTGTCTCAAAGGTTCATTGTTGTTGGCTGCCCATTGCTGCAGTGGTGAGAATTTTTTTTGCCATATTCCAGTATGCTTACTCGCACATTTGCACGGATATGAGAGCTCTAAACAGCGATTCCCACGAGCCCGACCATGCCACCGACAACAGACCGCTTCACATCCAGCCTGTTTCTTGTCGAGGGTTTTTCCTTCACGTTTGTCATGGAATATTCGAGTTCAGCGTCGTTACAAATTGAAAAGACCCCACCGAAATTAAAAAACAATAATTTTATTCACAGAGCGTAACTGATAAACCTAAACAATAATTGACATGCATTTTAAAAGCGATTTCGTTATAAATAGCCTACATTGTATAAAAAAATAAACAGATCACATGGTTCTGGTTGATTTTTTTCCCCCCATCCCACTTGAGTTTAGAAATGAACTCTTCAGTATATCGAATAGGAACATCTCAGTGAGTTATTACTGATAGTGATAGGCCTACTCATCTGTTTTGCTTGATCGTGTAATGCAATTTGACCACATGCTCTGCAACCATAACATCAGGCTTCACCTTACGGAGAAGTATCAGTGGTTGTAAGTATACAAACAGCTCATGTGGGCGTCCTTCTCAGCATTTCCATAATGACTGCAAGATGATAACACATGCTAATCACATACTTCGCTTATGTAAGTGTCTTTTTGGAAACGAAGTCTCGTGGTTGTGGACTGATATCACTGGCATTGGTTCGCTCATCATCGGAGGAACAATCAGATGAATTCAGCATGTAATTATCTCCTTCGTCGTCACTGTCCCTAAAGTCCCGTTTTCTGTTGCTTTTCACTGAATCTACCTTCTGGTAGTCCTTCTCCAGTCCGTCCATTTTGTCCTGGCTTCCTTTACCTTTTTGCTTCTCGGCCTCCTGAGCGGCTTGCTCTTTAGCCTTTTTACTGCGCTTCCATTTCATGCGCCTGTTCTGAAACCAGATTTTCACCTGGAAATATAAACATGACATATGTCTCATTCATAAATAATTCAGAGCAATCGAATATTATTTGACCTTACTAACTGTAATATTTAAATTAATCGTATTATTACTATTAGCCTATTAATGTTCAACAAACGAATTTAGACATTTTTAAATGTAAAAAAAGGTCGCCGGTTTACCTGTGTCTCTGTTAGCATTAATGATGTGGCCACTTCAAAGCGTTTTGGTCTCGATAGATATTTATTCAGCTTAAACTGGTGCTCAAGTTCAAGGAGCTGCTGGCTTGTGAACGCGGTTCTTGGTCTTCTGCACTTCCCGAGTAAGTTTGACTGCGCCTGGCCTGCAGAATTGAGCAACAGAGCGTGTATATTGTGTACGACACAGCAACAATTGATTTTTTTCACAACATTTTTATTATCAAAATAAAGATTGCAGTTCGATTCCAAAATAAGCTAAATAAAGACTCCAGTGAGTACCACAAATGTGTTTTTACATTTTGAAACCTTTGAAGTTCTACATAGATACAAATATTTTTTGTTCTCCAATTCCTGAGAAAATTACAAACTTTTAAAGCAGACCCCCCACCAAAAAAAATTACATTATATATATATACACACACACACACACACACACACACATATATATATATATATATATGTGTGTGTGTGTGTGTGTGTGTGTGTGTGTGTGTGTATAGTAGCCTAGGCTAATGTAACATGAATCATTTTCTTAAGCAGAAAAAAAACTTTGGATAAGAATGTTATTTGATGAACATATAGTAGGCATACCGCACGGTTAAAAGCTTATTTTTGAGAGTGGCAAGGACAGTGGAAATGTAGTTGCTGTTTTTCACATATTTAAATTTTAACAGCCTATAGGCCAGCCATGTTACAGAAGGCATTACAGCATTAATGCACAATATGCGCAATCGATTTTAACACACCGTGTAAATGGCACGGCAAGAAATGATAAAAGCGCTCATTCTTAAAACCCTCAAAAGCAATTCCCAGTCACACATAGCCTCTATGTGCCACGGCATTGTCAGTACATCTGGTAACATTTCCACCCTATCTGATTTGTTTGGGAGAGGTTTGAGAAAATCTGCAGACGAGCAGCGGAACAGAGAGACAGTGTCCGCAGTGTACACAGTTGGCAGGCTGTGGTTTTCACACTCGTCCGCCACTTTCCCTCTGTCCATTATCTGGCCATTTTAGCCCCTCTCCGAAAGAGAGAGCTCGTTCTGTCTCAGTCAAAGAACAGCTTTACTGACCCTGCACGCGCGTGTTATATCTGGCTGCTGTGATCCGTAGCTCTGAACAAAATTGATTTGATTTTTTATTAATAAAACAGTAGTAGGGCACGTGTTGAAAATAAACAGCGTTTAAAATAATTGATAAAATATGATTGAAGAATACAGAATAACCAGGCATATAAAAATAACAAGTTTATCATAGCCTATACCTGTATAGCCTACATAATAACATGGCCACAAAAATTAGAATAAAATGTATAATAATAATAATGTTATTTATTTAGCCACATGCATTTCAGATGCAACTCACCATTGAAATCTGCCATTTTAGGCAGCAGCATCCCCGCAGTTGAGACCCTCAGCCAGTGATCGAGCTGAAAGGAGCTGGCGGTGAGTTTGAGGGGGTCACTGGGATGATGATGGTGGTGCGACCCGTGCGGATATGAGTAGGACAGTGCCGGGTGCTGACCCAGCGCTGCTGCTGAATATGTGTACATTGGATGACCGTAGAGAGCCTGAGGGGGGATCCCGGTGCTGCTCTGAGGGTGTAGTCCTAACATGCCTGAATGGAGAGAGTTTAAGAAACCCGGTTTGGGAATCAACCCGCAAGACGATATCCTGGGGGGCGACGGAGTCTCGGTTCGAAGTGCCTCGGAGTTCGAGTTCAACTCCGACGCCTGGACACTTTCGGAGGAGGATGATACGGAAGAGGTGGGCAGGGAGGTGACCAGCGCCAGCGGCGAGCTCTGCACTTTTGGCGGATCGACAGCCAGAAGCGCGTCGATGCGAAAGTTTTTAGATTTCTCCATCTGGCCCACCTCACAAACAGATGAACGCGTCGGTCGCAACTTTAAAAGGCTGTCACTATGTCACCGTTGCTCTCCTTAAAGTTATGATCTTGGCCAAGGTGTGCAAGCCAGAAGTCCACTTGTCCACTGCTGCCCGAGAGGGTGTGGCTTGGTCATTCACGTCATCCTTGTGGATATCCGATTGGACAGTGATTTCTTCTATAGCCTACACTCTTACAAATAAAGGTGCTTCAAAAGGTTCTTCAAACGATGCCATAGAAGAACCATTTTTGGTTCCATGAAGAACAATTCAGTCAAAGGTTCTTTAAAGAACCATCTCTTTCTTACCTTTTTATAATCTGAAGAACCTTCTTTCGCCACAAAGAAGCTTTTGTGAAACAGAAAGGTTCTCCAGATGTTAAAGGTTCTTTATGGAACCATTTAGACAAAAAGGTTCTTCTATGGCATCGTGAAGAACCTTTATTTTTAAGAGGGTAGTCCTCAAAAATATTTGTAATTCGTGGAAGGTGCTGGAGAAACAGAAAAAAAAATGTTTTCAACAGCTAACACACAACACACACACACTTTACTGATAGCCTTAATTAAGTACAGATTTGTAGATTTTATAGATATTCTGCATTAGTGTATGAAGAAAGTGTCCTCACTAGCCTATTAAAGTGCAACGATTAAAATACTATGAAATTATTTATACGCTTAAAAAGAGGAATGCAGTGTTTCAGTCTGTTCTATAATAAGACGAGTTATCATCATGATTTCATTTTACGAGCGTTTTCGACATGTTGATGCAAAAAATAGGACTGATTGAACGAAGATGACTAACTGATTGTCTAAAACCGGTAAGTGTTAGTCAAACTACACCATATGTTTATACAGTATCTAGGCTATGTCTATGTTTGAAAAAGAAGCCAACCATCGCTCTACTGGCAACGCAAAGACTATGGCATTTTTTTATTTGATGATTATATATGAATTATCTAAGTGGCATATACGCATTTGAGATTAAAAATATACTTTGAGTTCTGAATATTTAAGAGGACAAATTCGTGGAAAGACTGTTCTCACTCGGACACCAGGGGAGACCTTAATCGCTCCACTTTTTTGCATTGCAGTAAATAGTTTTGACGTTTTGGTAAGTGTTTCAGCAAAAATGTAAGGAGTAAAATAATGATGAAACATAAAACAATTAATGAAAATATGTACAAATTATCAAGCAAGTGTTTTGAGCAACAGATAGGCCTACCGTAGGCTATTTAAATAAATAAATTGTATACATTTCCAATAGCCTATGTAAAACACATGAAACAACTTGCCCCCATCCACACCCCTAAAAATGCACCGACCTAACATTTATGAAAAATATGCTTATATACCCCTTCCTGAATATTTATTGTACAATTTGTTTAGCTAACAAATGATGATATCGGAATTTTACTCTGGAGGATAAAATTCACAAACTTAATTTCATTTGAGAGGATTGTTTTAAGGCGTTTGAAACGCATACAAAACTACTGCTAG